TGGCGGTTACAAAGGACCTGGATTTTCCCTTATTTTTGTAGAGAAAATCAAAGAAAATCAAAACCCCTTGCAACCGAAAAATAACGGATTGCCTAGGGGAGGCCAAACACATGTTTTGGGTGCACCGGGAGCCAAAATGGAGACCGGATGCACTTGGGAGTTCGCCGCTCCTTTTTCTTTCAGTTAGAGGCTGGTTGTGGGGCATTGGGACAAAGAAAATAGCCCCTACTGCAGTCCGAGTTGCAACTGATAGCATGGGGAGGGGCAAACACATGCTTTGAGTGCTCCGGGAGCCAAAATTGAGCACGGAAGCACTTAAAAATTTAACGCTGCATTTACTTTTAGCATGGGGCATGTTGAGGGGCTGTGGGACAAGAGATTTGGCTGTGGCTGCAGTCCGAGAAATAACGGACTGCATGAGGATGCCTAAGCCAAAGAAAAATGAGTCGCGGCACACCCAAAAGGCTAGAAAACGACACCGTAGGCATAACGGAGTACAACGGCAAATGGTGATGGCAAGGCGGGGGTCCCGCGGCCGGGAAAATAATCGACACATTTGAGGCACATGGGAACGATGAAATGGGACTGCCGGGGACATGGGGAGTTCCAAATAAAAATTGGGCATCGACCGGGATGACGCCAAATACCAAATGGGCCCAAATAAAAATTGTCAAAAAATTAGGCTTTGTCGACGACGCCCCCGACGGGACGAAAAAAATGGAACTAGCATGGGGGAATGGCGGGGACTCAGGGGGCCCAAGAGAAACCACTAGCCAATGTAGGGAGTGGACGTGCAAGGCAGATCGCACCGCCGAGATCGAAGGATCTCAACGGTGGAAAATATTAGCACCACTAGTGCAAGCACTAATAGGGCTCAAACGGGTGAAACGGGAGTGAAAATCAAAGAAAAATGAATGATGGGAGAACTCCTAGCAGTCCAAGATATCTCGGACTAGCTAAGCATGGGAAAATAAGAGCCCAAGGGGCACCATGCAAGAAAAAGGCTGGCCGTGGAAAATCGGAGCCAAGGGCGCTCAAAATCAGACAAAAGGAGGCATAATGGAGCCCCCTAGGAACTTAGGGGTGGCTTCATTGTAATCCGCAGTATAACGGTCAACAGCTGGCCATGAACCTGGCCATAAATGAGGATCCTAGGCCTAGAAAAATAATGCACAACCATTTGACACTTGTCACAGCAAAAATAAAAGAAAAAGAAAAGAAAAAGGAGAAAAAATGAAGGGAGAATGAGACAAAACGGGAGAAATAGGATGAGGAAAATATGTCGACCATTGGGACTATTGCAGTAGGGACTGACAGGTCCCAATGATGACCTCACCCCTCCTAGATCCAAGGAGGGCAATCCGGATTGCTGAGATAGGGCCCTTGGGTCCATATCTCAACAATATCTGAATTAAAAAGGCAAAAATAAAAAAAAATGCAAAAAAGGAATGGCAAGATTTCTTTTCAACCATGGATCTGAGATCAGATCTCATGGTGGAGAAGAAACAGCCGTTTTTTGTGGGCCAGCTCAAAACGGCTAGCTCCGGAATGATGTGGCAGCCCGAAATGCAAAGGAAACAAAAGAGGGAAAAAGACAGAACAGCGCATTTGGCCCAAAAAGAGAGCCAGATGCACCAAAAAATGAAAAATTCAGCTTAGGGGCTCAAATTTGAAGCAAGGACCACCGTGGTGTAGCTCGGAATAATGGTGGCCTTGGATCTTAGACTGATCCTAGCTGAAAATGTGCCGCCACATGGAAAATTGCTCCGGCCTACCCAAAGGAGGCCGAAAATTTGAAAAAAATCGAGAAGAAAACCCACTAGGCCTTTTTCTCTCAAGTAGGCTACCCCTTGGACCTTGGACTCAAGGGGGCAACATTTTACAAGTAGTGTGAGGCTGGAAAAAGGCTCAAGGGGCAAGCCGAGTTGGTACCAACCACTCGGACTGCATGAACCTGGCCAAAAAGAGGCCCAGGTATCCCCGGAAAGGCCTAGTGGTGAAAATTGGCCATGGGGGTACCTTGGTTCACTATGGGGTACATGGAGAGGCCCATGGGCTGGCCGGACTATTGTTCCCAGCCTACATAAGCTGGGAATTCAGTCCGCCACACTCACATTTGCATAAGGAGTGCCCATGCTGCCCAATTGTGCCCATGAGAGCACTACACTCACTTGGAGTGAAGTGAGGGGAACCCCTGTCAGTTTGGGAGCTGAGAGGAGACTGTGAGCTACTGTGTGGGACTCTACAGGCTAGTGGTAGTGGTTGGAAGGTGATCCGCCATAGCTCCCAGGCTAGTGTGGAAGAAGGCAAGGCTAAGAGGAGTCCCATTAGCCCTCCTAGAGAGAGGACTCCATAGCCATAGTCATAGGAGTTTGTGGCAACTTGGGAGGAGGAGAGAAAGGAAGGAGAAGGGCTTGGAGGGGAAGGAAGCCATAGCCAACTAGGGGAGGAGCTTCATCAAGAGTTGAGACATCAATCCCAAGACTGAGGAAGGGTGAGTGGAGAAATGCTTCTTCTCCTTCTTCTTCTTTTTCTTCTCCATCTTCTCCTTCTCCTCCTCCTCCTCCTCCTTCCTCTCCTCCTCTTCTTCTTCTTCCTCCCCCCCCCCTCCTTCTTCCTCTCTCTCCGTTCTCCATGGATGTCTTCCAAGGATTATGATAGCTAGTAAGGGACTCTTTGGTTACCAATAGGCTCTCCGTTGTCCATTTTTCCACCCCTATGTAAATCGTAACTATCCCCCTTGTGTGTGTGAGCTCAAATATGTTCTCTCTCCTTCTCCCCATGTTTCACTTGATTCTTCACTTGGGAGTAAACCGCTACTTCAATCTTGGTGTATTCTAGTGTTTTGGTAGAGTAGAGTGCTTGCATTGTCAATTTTTCCACTCCTATGTAAATCGCAACTTTCCCCCTTGTGTTTGTGAGCTAAAATGTGTTGTTCTCTCTCCTTCTCTCCATGTTTCACTTGATTCTTCACTTGGGAGTAAATCGCTACTTCAATCTTGGTCCTGTTTTGGTAGTGTAGAGTGCTTGCATTGTCGGTTTTTCCACTCCTATGCAAATCGCAACATTTCCCCTTGTGTGTGTGTGCTCAAATGTGTTGTTCTCTCCCCTTCTCTCCATGTTTCACTTGATTCTTCAATGGGGGGGTAAATCGCTACTTTGATCTTAGTGCATTCTAGTGTTTTGGTAGTGTAGAGTGCTTGCATTTTCCGTTTTTCTACTCCTATGTGAATCGCTGCTTTTCCCCTTGTGCTCTAGACGGAATACCGCATGATTTCGCCCCCCCCCCCCCCCCTTGTTCTATTCGAACGCGGTAATTGGGGAATGGGTAGAGTGCTGATTTTTCTCAGCAAATTGAACTTCTGCTGTCAATCCTGCTAATAGACTGCTGTAGGACTGCGTTAGCTGCTAGAGTCTGGCCACAAGACTGCCATTGAGGCAAGCAAGGATGGTTGGCCACTCACCGATGCGAAACCACCCGGAGACGACAAACGGGCCAAGGAGGGGGCACAACTGCGGCAATACTGCCAAACCGCAGGTACGAGGGTTGAGACCTCTCAGACTTCGTATCCTAGGCATAAAATGATGGCCTGCAGACCCAGCAGGCCATCGAAGTCTGTTTTCTGAAAAAATCAGAAAATGGACTTCCGCAAACCGTTCACCCCGAGACCGGTTGGGGCCCGAAACGCGCAACCTGACCCAAACAGCGTTTGAATGGAACCAAAATTTGCAGAGGCCTTC